AGACAATTAAAGTGCCGAGGGTAAGGTAGTCTAACTCATTAACAGGCGGGGGTCGCCCATATACACGGGCACGCTCTTCGTGTGTGAATACATCGTTTCGACGTACGCGTTCCCGCACGTCCTTGTGTGTCTCTCTCTCTTATTCCCTCTTGTTAGCGGCAGAATGTGTACGCGCCACTGTGTGCGGCAAAGGGGCACGCATAATGAGCGAGGGTGCCTGGGTGAGAGGGCAATCCGTAGGGTGGAGGGCGCACTTGCTCGCGAATCTTTTGAAATTGAGGGTCACGCTATATTTTATAACTTGTCACGATATAATCGAGAATCATGGAGCACTCATATTACCAACAAATTCATGCTACAAGTCGTATTATGAGGTTTATATCAATTTCGTCGTGTTCTCATTTCATAGATCGATTTTGATTAATTATTGCCTGGAAATCTCATTCTCGAATTACTGCTTCGTTACAGAACGTACACGCGTGAAACGCGCCTTTAGAGACGCTTGTTAGAGCAGGCAAGATTGACACGTTGGTCGCAATTAAAACGTAAGGGGGACCGCGTTCGCGCAAATTGCGTATCAAGTTAGAGGAGTCGGACAAGGAGGGCGAGGCACTCGTATTATCATTGGTGAAATCAACTAATTAGAAATTGCGTAGACCGCTCGTTAAAGATCGCCCCGCCGACCGTAATCACCAATTACTCTCTTAGTGCGGACTGCAGTGAACTTCGCTCATTAAAATTATTATTAAACGCCGCGGGCGACGAAGCTCGGCATTTGACGTTTCTACAGAGTGCGGCGCATTGTGAATCGCCGAATTTTTGCAATCCACTCGGCCGTAGAAGATTATAAGAAATATAAATTACAAATCGCGTATTTTTTACGGCGCATTCTTTAACGAGTCTGGTTTTCCTCCGGAGATCATACATAATAGAACGTAAATTGTGCCGTATGAATAATACAAGTGCAGGAAGTAATTAACCATATTCAGAGTTAAAATATATTTAGCTGTAAATTTTTGCTACGTTTAAGTACACTTACGGATTCCGTGCGAGCGAGATAAATCTTGGTGCGATCAATGTTTTATCAAAGATATATAGAGATTGTTATTAGTCGGCCGTGCGGCGCGCGATAATATCGCATCATAACAGACGGTGTTGGTTGTCATTCATCACCGGAGCTGAACCGTTATTCGCTAGTTACTTTCGATCAATTACTCCACCAGCAGGGCACGAATGCCTCACTCAGCCTATTAGGATGGAATACCCGATATTTAATTTAATACAACCGTTCTGATTACGGCGAAGATCTATACAAATGTCGAAACGACAAAAATACTACCGCAGCACTTTAATTAACCGCTCCAACTATCACGTTTGCCGCGATCAATATAGTTGTCAAATACATCTAAACTGTTAATAAGCCAGGCAAGGGGCTCATTTCAAGTAACGATAATTAAGTAAAATAACGAATAATTTGCGCGCTCTGTTTGACATTTTTTACGACTGTCATAAATAAGACTCACGGATAATCGAAAATTCTTGCTTGTCATCAGCTTTCCAGAATGGTCACGTAAAACACGCGTGAATAATGATACTGGTAATGGCGTCGGACGATTAAGAGGCCAGAACGAGAGAGAGAGAGCGAGAGAGAGAGAGAGAGAGAGGAGGAGGAGGAGGAGGAGGAGGAGGAGGAGAAAGGAGAAGCAGATTTTATGGCTGATCCTCGATCATCAGCTATATAATTCCTTCTATCCGTTCTAGCTGATTGACTTGGCCGTCGGCCTCTAATTAGCAATTATGGAGAAATCGAAAATGCGCTGAGCGATTCGACCAAGCGGGATGCATACATATCTCCGCTTATTAAGTCGCGAACGATTCGGCCCGGAAGTAGATACATGACCGAATCGATATAAAGAGAGACTGCAATTAAAATCTACCACTTCGATTTATTTACGAGACGCCTGACGCCTGAAACTTACCGAGGAAACGATACCCTTTGATTAGTATTTCGCCCACGTGCGGGACGAGCGATGCGTCTTTATAACATCTTACGTAACGCGCAAAAGTTTTAATCAATTGGTTAATTGGTTGTAGAAAATAATGGAATTAATAAATACGTCGGAATTTCGAATACCAGTTTCTTGACAATCGTTTTTATTCGCATTTAAAATGTAGATGGACAAGACGCGTCTCATAATCGATCACCGTATTTAATTAATGCACGAAACACCGTGTATGACACTTCGCTTTCTCGAACTGCGTGTCGATTTACACACGAGAAAGTAACAACACGTTTGAAAATCTCACACATTTCAAAATTTGCGCATTGCTATTTTCTTGCCGTGAAAAGTAGGCAAAATCCGAGCCATAGCTTGTTTGCATCCGCATTTTGCAGCAGAAGAGAGAGAACGCGCATTTATAATTGAACCGTTGTGAACGATTGAAGACAAACCACAAAAAAATGAAAATAAAAAGGGAAGAAAGAAAAAACAAAAAGCAGGAAAAAACGAGAGAGAAAGAGAGAGGGGGGAGAGAGAGAGAGAGAGAATAAAAAGGGAAAGATTGAAACGTCATTCGGGGGAGCAATCATCGAGATACTGGCCGCGCGATCAGCTGTGGATCCCGGGCAGATAAATTAGCAATTTAATTATAGAACTGTCAGCCGGTAATTAAATTAATAACGAGAAACCTCAAATCCAATCCGCTCCGTCGTCGTAACAGCCTTATGCGCGCTCTCGGAGTAAAGTCCGACGCAGACATCAATATGTTGACTATCTATATCGCGCGTTTCAAAAGTCGATTTAATTAAATATTCCATTAGCGTTAATTGCGAAGTTCGATTTTGACAGTAGCACGTATATGCTGTGACTTCGGGGAACGGCTTTATGGCTCGAGATAGATCGTTAGACCAACAAATCTTTTCCCATTCGATGCAGAATTTTCAAGTTCCATTCTTGAATCCCCTCCGCTGTTGAGGATGACGGCCGAGTGTGCGTGTGCGATGTACCGGTGCGTCGGATGCGTCTCCCTCGCGGAGGAGCTTCTTACGCCGTAGTGCATCGGAGAGAGATGTGAGATCGTGGCGCTCACCTCGAATCCCCATTCGACATACCTATGTATCGTTACGTAGCTAATTGCTGCATAAACAGCCGACTTTATGAGCCAACGGATATACGGCTGACAACCGCTTCGCAAACATTAACTGCCATTAACGCAGGATACGAACGCATCGTGTCGCATCGCGGCGTGGCACGCCGATATTCGAACTCGATGTATGCCACGAACGAAATTATTGAAAAATAATTGTAGACCCAACGCCATGGTCAGACATCTGGCGCGGCCGTTCTGGGAAACACTTTCATCGCGATAATGTGTTTTATTCAGAATATCGCGAATCATCAGTTGTGTCACGATCTCGAATCTTAATTGAACGTTTTTTTGGTTTTGTCGTAGAATGTTCGGCAGCAGTGGCGTCTGCGGGAGTTGTGGCAACGCGATACCCGCGAACGAAATGGTCATGAGGGCTGGCGACTCGGTGTTTCACGTGAAATGCTTCAACTGCAATAAGTGTGGTGGTCAACTCGTCTCCGGCGACAGGTGAGTCTTTCGCTCATGAATTCTTCCCCTTTTTTAAGCTACGGTTACAGTGCGTGTTCTGACGAACTTTTATTCTAACGAATTTGTCTCAATTACAGGAGAAATAGGTGGTCCCAATAAACACATATTCTAGTGAAATATGGTTTTGTAATCTAAAAGTTTGAAATTTTAAGAGCTTAGACTGGTATTCATATATAATTGGATTTTATTTTAAGATAATCTTAAGATGTGTGCTAATAGGGCTTTGTGATTGGCTTATGACATCTAAAGATTATTAAGACGATTTCAAATATAAGAATCGATTATAGCTGGTATTCATTATAGTCGATTCTTACATTTATAATTTATCTTAAGTACAATTTTAAGATATCATAAACCAGAGTGCCGTATTAGCACAAACAGCTTAAGACTATCTTGAAATAAGAACTAGAAATACCGACTTTATATCTATTTCTACTAATGTAGATTACCTTTAGGACTTATCTTTTTCTTTACCTTACTTCTTATCTTTTCCTAGTTTTAAAAATTAGGGCTACATTCTAAAACGTTCTCTCCGAAGACAAGATTTTACTCTATATCTTGATAGTATATGTTACGTTACTATATATTTTGAATAAAGTTGTCCTCGGAGAGGATGTTTGGAATGTACCCTAGAAAAGGATAAAGAGTACATTAAACCGAGATTAAAGTTAGTCTACATTGGTAGAAATAGACATTAGTGTTGCAACTACACAAGATGAATGACATTGGTGATTTATACTTTTTAAAAAGTTTATTATTAAAAATTTTATTTGTGTGTAAAAGTATATGGGAATAAAGAATTTGCTCCAAGAAAAAGGAAAAAAAAATGGAGAATACTATTTCTTGAATATTTCCCATTTCTTGTAAGATATGTCAGTTATAATAAGATTTTTTTCTTTATATCCCACAGACTTCTATTTTCGAACATTAAGCTGATTACTTTCAATATCCATTTCAGTAAGTCACACACATTTGTGTGTGACTTAATTTCAATATCCATTTCAGTAAGTCATATAAATTCGGACGAAGAAATAAACTCGTTGGAACGACAAATTTATTCTGACGAGTTCATTTGACATACCGCACACATGTAGCGTAATCACTCTTATAGAAAACATATTCGTTAGAACAAAAGTTCGTCATGAACACGCATTCATTGTATCCGTAGCCTTACTTTCGGACATAATTTATCCTAGGCGAGAAAGCCTTTACATGACACGCAATTCTCACGATTTCAGATATTACCTACTATCCGGCTCGCCGATTTGCGAATCTGATTGGCACAAGATTGTGAAATCGTCGAGCGTCGCGGCAGCGGCAGCCGCGGGAGAGCACCCGTTAGGAAAGGTAAGGTCGGCAGGCCTCGAAGGAGCCGCGAATGAGGCGGCAACCCGGTCGGTCGCCCGAAGAAGGTGCAAGCCTCTCCGCAGCCGACGCCCCCCGTCGTACCTTCGCCTCAGGTAGATGTAGTGGACGTCGCCGTCGGAGTGGATCCTTATTCGCCGCCTCCGCCGGGTCATCAGCACTATCATCAGTATCACCATCACCACCATCACCAGATGGCACTCGTGCATCCGGGTCTGGCGGCTCAGCAATCGCACCTCCAGACGTCCAGCTATCAGGACTGGTCGTCCTGGGCTCAGGATACTTGCGATTAGACCCGCTGTCCGCCGTAATAGGACTGTACCCCAAAGGACATCGCGATGAAGAATAAGCCTAATTTACCTAACATTGCGAGCTCAGACTCTTCAGGAGAATCGCAAAGAGGGGAAAAGGCCAGCGTAGCGTTCCTTGGAAAACCGCCATCGGCGACTCTACGAGTGTCTCTGGACTTGGAATCGTGATACCGAATGTGTTTGAACTTGCCACGGTAATCGAATGTCTTCGTACATGCGGTGCCGTGATATTGAACATAATTGAACTCGCCGCGGATACCGAGCGTTTTTATGTTCTAACGTGTGTTGACATGTCGAGTGCGTCCAAACTTTACGTGGATGCTGAGAATCTCTGAACGTCTTTGAACTTGGATAATTCGGAATCGCAGATATCTCTGGAACTTGAAACGCGAACTTTTTGGTTCTATAGTGGATGTGCGACCTTCTTTGATTCAAACTGACAAAGTGACAAACTCTTGTGAAGAAGGGTTTGCACTAATATCGAGATATTGATGTTGCGAATATCGAAAGCATTCTTAAGTTAATTCAGCATTATTTGGACAACTACCTTTGCACAAGATAGCGTCCATTCTAATCAGAACTGTTGATCGCATCTGCGATAAGTTGAGACGACACTCGACACCTCATTGCAGAAGCACTTTCGCCACGAATCCGCCGGTCTTCTTAATAATAATCTTTGCTCAATTGTAAAGAATCGAAAAAAGTTTAAGATACGACTCATCGTGCATCTACCATCAGCCGCAATAGTATGACGTCAGTACTCTTCTTTAAAATCCTTTGCAATCATCTTATTGCGATTACCTTGACACAAGATGCGAAATGTAGAATTCGTTGACATTAACACAACTTGCAACAAGTGATTTTTCGCACGTTTGTGAAATATCAAAATAATTCTTCCCGTCGATACCATTCTCAAGGTCATTGCTAAATCATTCTGACGTCAAAAACTTTTTTTGTTATCTTATTTTATTGTATAATTAAGATTTATTTCAATTCTCGTTACAATTTTAGTCTAAATTTTTAAATTGATAAATATATATTTCCGCGAGCGCGCTCTGTCGATTCTTGGTTGTCGCCACTTCGGAGGCGACACGCGTCCTTGGAACGGTGTTGCGTGCTAAATTCGACATATGCGATCAACGAAGATCTAACCGCGCAAGAAAGATGGCAATCGGAAAGGGAGGGAGAAAGAGAGATAATTCGACGGCGATCGAACGAGAAACGCGAAACGACGGCAACGCGCAGTTCTGGACCCTTAGAAAATTATTTTTCTTTCAAAATCACCGTTCTCCCGTCGATCCGCCGCGCCGTTGCGCTTCGTAAACTCATTAGGCGGCCCTTGTTCCCGCCATCGTTAATTGAGTGCCGAGGTGAGACGAACGACACGGAATTATCATTCGAATCCTTCTTGTTAAGCATCCTCTCCCTTTTCTCATTCTTTCTCTCCCTTTCCTCTTTCCGTTTTACTTGCATTTTTGCGTTCTCTCTCTTCCTTTCTTGAGAGTTCATCATTTCCGAAATAGCATAATCAATTAATCCCTCTTGGGATACCACTTCGAATTCAGCAACCTATAAGTGATTTTTTGCTGGTGTCTGAGGAATTTTTTTAATTTTGTAATTTGATCGCTGATGATGATTCCAAAGAGAATCGAAACGTCCGATGATGTCATTTTCTTTTATTAAAGTAATAAAAGTTTTTATACTGTACTATTATATTTATGTGCATCTTTAACCGCACTGTACTTTGATTAGCCTTATTTTTGCCTTATCACTGATATCAATTAAGTTTCTCGCATAAAATCCTTTCGCTACAGTCATGTCGGCACAACCGACATCAAATTTTATCGTAATCATAATTACTTTACAAAGTTTTATATGGTGCAGAAATAATCGATGTCGTTTTCGAAAAGAGAATATAGCTCAATTATCCCCCCCCCCTTCTCTTTCTCTCTCTCTCTCGTGTTTAGCGAAATCTACATTATGCATTTATTGTGAATCAACAGGGTTGTCTGAAGAAACGCGTTTGCCAGTAACACACAACGTTACGATAAATTTAACTTTCGATCGAAAGAGCGAGTCGAGATTTAACTTAACGATTCCTTTTTGTCGCAGTTCTTAAATACTCGATATTCGTCCGTCGAGCATTTTCAAAGAGTAAACGCGTGCTACTGGCACGCGAACCGACACCCGTTGCGCATACCTATACGTTAGTGACATAACTCGCGGCGAGCAAGAAATGACATTGGCATGCAACGACGTGCTCGAAGCTCAAAGTACAACGGATTCAAAGGCGGAATGAGTTTCGGCGCGAAATGTGTATAATAAGAGCAAAGTCGCCCTGTTACTCGTTTCATTCGTCAAATACTCTCATTTCAAATGACGATTCTCGAGCGCATTGCCACAATCTCCGATTGAGCGTCGCTCGCACTTAGAAAGCTCGCACCGTTGTGTGTCATGATTCGTGCGCGAGCGGAATTCCGTGTACCACGGAAATTTCACGAAAACGACGCTTAAGAATCACGATGATCCAACGGCTCGCTACTAAGGAATCGCAAATCCGACGAACTGGATTGCGCGAACAATCGCTAGTCGACGCCGCCAAGGATCGAAGTCGATTTCATGACTCTGCAGGTGACGACGCCGACGGAGACGGTGAAAAGCGGCATATACAGAAGTGTACATGTAGATTGGGCAAGAAGTCGCGCTGAAGGATTATGTCAAGGATGCACAAACTCTTTCGACATCGGCGCCAGGGCAATGGCGCTTGTCACAGATCTTCGACCAGACACACGAACACAAATTCCTAAAAGAACGATTATCTTAATTTTCATTTTCATTTTGTTACTCTTCACATTTTTTGGAATGAGATTTCACTTCAAAGAATTTAGAGAGTACATTTCTCGGATATATAAATTAACAGATATTTGTGTAAATTGCACTGAGAAATTTATATGAATCGGACAAAACTTGTATATTCGAACATGCAATAATTGGGGAACAAATTTATTCAGATGATTTCCGTTTCTTTTCGTTGGCACGTGCGCGTGTCGGATTGGGGTTTGTGCATCGTTGGATTGTGTAATTTAATCTTGTACATAGGGTACATTTTGTATATTGTTAAAAGTTTGTGTGATATAAATGGTTATGTATTTACTATCGAGCGCGAACGGCGAACGGGGCATCCGCGCGTTTATCCCACGGACGATCGGCCGATACGCGACGTGCCATGGTTTTCCGTTGTCCTGCATCGTCGAGTGCGGTAACGTCGACGACGGAATACATTACGAAACGTTGGTTTCGCATCGATCCGAAGTTTTGCTCGGCGCCAATAAGTCGAATTATCCCGTCTCGAATGTACATAACATTAAATTTTGCATCGTTCTTTTTTTTTTCATTTCCTTCATTTATTCGTTCATTTAACGTTTCGTTATCGCACGTGATCTCACGAAATTGTTGAAACGTGGCGTTTCGTCGCCGAGCGAGCGATTGCCAAAGTCTAATTTACAATATGCTCTTTTTTTCTTGTTTCTCGCTTTTTACCACTTTTTACTTCTTGCTTTTTTTTGCCTCTTATCCAGTTTCTTTGTTTTCTGTCGCCCGAGATAAAAGTTGATGAACTTCGGAAGAGACAAGAAACGCGATTGTACAAAACGATCGCAAAGAAAAAGAAAGGCACGAGATAAAAAGCAAGAAATAAGAAGCAAAGAACACATTGTAGATTAGGCTTTCGAGATTCGCTCTTCCGATTTATGCGACGAGAGGCGACGTCCAAGGACGGTGCGTCGTGAGAGCGACGAGGCGTACCGAGCGCGTGATCTCGTGACGGGATCTCGAGCGATGGTCGTGAATGAAATAGCGACGTGGCGCGTGCTGCGTACCGCACCCGGCAACGCTGACTTGACGGATCCGGAAGCGATTAAGCGATCGCGCGAGGAGCACGGAAAGTCCCTCCGCCCCATCCCGCCCCCATCGGCCGAATGGCACGCGTGCGGACCGCGAGCCCGGTCCCGCGCGCGCGTCTATAGTTAATTTTGTTATTTCATTAATCTCGGACTCTTCGTAATCGGGACCCGACATCTGTATGTGGTTTCGCGGCCTCTTGTAAAATACAATTACACCCATGGAACACACACGCGCATACACACAATCGTACGCGAACACGATTTATTAATTAATAAAAATCACAAGTTTTTAGAAAACGGGGAAATCCCCACCCGTGGTCGGTGTCATTGATTTCCCCAGTCCTATCGCAATCCCAGATTCTCTTTCAGGACTGCTGTGTGTTCAACGTCGGTGTGCGATGGCGATGTATCGAGCAGACGCTACGTTAAAATTCCTATTACAATCGTGAGGGTAAGAAGAGAAGAGGAGAGTACCCGGTTAATTTGGTTAGCATTAAGCGGAAGGGGAAATCGATCACGAAACCATTCCTTACCGTCCGCTTCCCAAGTGGCTGAATTAATTCGCATGATTCGAATGTTTCGTTTCGGCGCGAGGCCGGTTTTCAAGCCGACTCCGCACGGCGCGGGCGAGCGACCCGACATTCTCCAGTCGGATAGGTATTTAACGGACGTACACGTGTCCGACCATATTGCGTTTGTGTCGTTCGATAAATAGGTGGCTAAGCAACTCCAACGGAAACCCGTGTTAATTAACGTTGAGTTTCAGGACTGATTTACGTGGCGTCTAATTAGCGGGCCTGCCGACGACGTAGTAGGCATTTTGATTGGCCGCTCCGCGAATAGAACGCGGTCCGATTGGCCTTGCCGCCGTGTCGTATCGATTGTTTTCGTTTCTTCTCCTCTTTCTGCTCGTCCTTCTGCTCCGTTCTCTTTTTTTTTTGTTTCTTCTTAAAAACAAAAGCCGAATAGATGCGCCAAAGCGCGCTCCCGAAACGAGAAATGCTTCTAGACCGCGATGCAACGACCGATTGCGAACGTGAAAGAGCGAATCATCAGGTAATATTCGTAGGCCGTTCTTATTTCAAGACCGTCTTCAGTAATATCTTACGATGCTAATACGATTCTCTGATTGTTCATGACATCTTACACGGTAACAAAAAATATGTTGTGTTTGTATTAAAAACGGTCCACTCAAATCCTTTTTCTGTTAAAATTTTGTGTCGAATTTTTAGTACATCCGAATGTTAATTTAACGTAATATAATTGCGTTATTTGAATATTTTATGTTAAAATGATATTCAACATTTTTTAGTATTAAAGTGACACAATTTATGAATGTGAACATGTAACAAAAATAATGTTCCTTAAAACGTAAATTCTAATAAATGAGTAAAATATATTAATTTGACATATATTATAAATATTAACTTTATTGAAGTATGTTAATTTGACGTATTATAAATTAATGAATTTTAATGAAGAAATATGACTACCTACAATTGTGTCAGTGTTACATTTTTTGTTAATTAATTTTTTACATATTTATGTTACTTTCCAACATATTCATCTTGTGTTAAATTAACACGAAAATTTTATATATCACTTAGGACATGTGAAATGTGTTAAATTTTCCAACTCTGTGAGATTATTCTTAAAGACATTCTTAAATATAACTTAAATATAAGAACACAACTGTGAAGACTGGCCGTGACGTCGTGAACTCGTTTTTAATAGGATTAAAAAAAATAAAGGAAAAACGGCTCGGTAATTCATTTTTTTACAACGTCCAAAAGTGTCGATTTTTCTCGTTAATCCGGATCGTAATTTTTTTTTTTTCGTAACCGACAAGCATAACCACAAGACGGTTCGTTACATGAAAGTGAAAGAGAGGGAAACCTCTCCTCGCTAATTAAACCGCTCGCGTTACGTCCTAATCTTTTATTTGCCGGCTGTCTTGCAAGCGTATCAATTAAATCCGAGGTCAAACGGGCGCGGTTACCAGCGTGCATCACGTGCGCAGTTGTACACGCGTCTGTTAATTATATGAGCGTGTCACTGACGTAATCCGTTGAGGTTCTTTCCGCGCTTATTTTTCTGCTCCTCTGGTGGATCGAGTCGCGCGCGATTATCTCAGGAACGTTAACGAGACCTTTTAACGCGACGAGAAAAATTCGTAGACGCTAATTCCGATGCCCGATGCTGAAAACAACAATGGGAACAATACAAGTTACTATCGCGATCTTGAATACGATCGCGAGCGCGACACGATGCATTTTGAAACGTCAAGCGTGTGCAGTTTCTTGAAGTTTTGCGGCAATTAACAGTCGACGGCGAATAACAAACTGAATTTAATTAATTGCATAACTGCGAGCGGAGGCGGTCCCCGTCCGCCCCTCTCCCCTTTCCTCCGGTACCGTGCCACCCAACCCCCACACACTTCTAATCGAAGCGGGGTACATATTGTTGCACCCGTTGCGCTCTACCCCTCATCATCCCCACCGGCAATTAATTATAGCATTCCAGGTTAGCCCGGGAATTAATTACGTCCAGAAGTTGGACGCTGGCGAGGGGATCGTTAGAAATCGTCCTTCGTTAGAGTTAGGTGGGCAGGGGTCCAGGTAATTATTGATGGCCTCCTATCAGGTCGCTCATTGTGTCGATAACGCCGCCAGTCGAATTTAAGGGATTCGGGAAAGAGAAGATCATAGACACTTTGGATTTTTTCAGAGACTCTTATAACTAATGTTGAATACGCGAGCACGATACTGAGATTAATTTCGTGGTACTTGAGCTAATAGTAATAGAAAAACATAAGCAATAAGCGAATCGGTTGATCATGCACGTCCTCTGGACATCCTAAAGGACATTTCTTGGAAACAATAAGAATCTTCTTTCTTGGAGAATTGTGTTATGTGAGGTTTTTTTGTATTTCTGGCTTTACTCCCACTGAAGATGGTTCTTTACTGTTCGTGTCATACACTGCTTACGTTTTTTGACGTGCCACTATCCAAGGAGAACAAGAAAATCAAAATAATGTCAATTTGACGTTGTATTGACGAATTTATGTCATTTTTGGTAATTATAAAAATCTCGATCTCAGATGATCTAAGAATGAGACTTCGTATATAAATGACTTCATATGTATACAGGGTGATCCGAAATTCCCGCATTCGGAGTATAAAGTCATTCTTAGATCATCTGAGATCGAAATTTTTATCATGACCAAAAAATGACATAAATTCGTCAATATGACGTCAAATTAACATTAATTTGATTTTTTGTTCCCCTTGGGTAGCTTTGTCGACAAGACTGATCGTGATCTAGGGTTTATTCATTCAAGACAATTTTCCTAATCTCAAAATGCGAAACGAAGATCAGCAAATAAATCGCGAGCGAGGCGATCAACGGTATTTCTTCGCAGCGGACAAACATAACATAGTATGCTTTACTAGACGCCTCGGAACTCCGTTGATGATGACGCGGACCACTTGTCCATCTACTCCCTAATCCCTTCTGCTTGTTAACATCGCGCTATGCTCCGCTTGCGGAACATTGCTGGGGAGACAAAAAGGGGATCGTTAGCGCTTGCGGCTGTGAAGTACGGGTGTACGTGTTTCGAGCGGAGCGTGAACCCTGTACGTATTTCGGATAGCATCCGACCTTTAATCCGATGTAAAGTTTTTTCAAAATCCGAATTTCGATAATCGGGAAAGGATAATTTCACCGTTAACGTCATGGTTCTGAGATTCTTTCGAAGCACCTACATCACGAAAATCGCCGATAATGAGCTATTCGCAAAAGCAACAGGTTTAAAGAATAGATTTATGCACTGACGCGTCCCGTCGCGTCGGTTAAACGTGTTAATGAGCGAGCGACGCGACGTCATTACATGACGTCATTACACGATGACATTACGCGAGTTGTACAAGAGCGTCAAATTTCTTTCTCGGTACAGGCACATCCGCGTGACGGACGGCGGGGCGGAAAAAATAAAAAGAAAGAGGAGAGTAGGGGAGAATAAAAAAAAAGAGAGAGGAGGACCCGGCGCGGCGGTGAGACAGACGAGGGGTTGCGCGCGAGGGTGGATCGGTTGACATACTGGCGAGGCAATTATTATTGTGAGTGGTTGGCGACGGGACTCCGATGATATTTTATTTAAGAAACAATCGGGTAATAGCCCGCTTCAAGAGGATAGATATAACGCCGCGAGCGCGAGGCAGCCAGAGAGGCCGACCGGAGAAAAGTTGTGGAGGGATAGAGAGAACGAGCTACGAGAAAAGGGAATTACGAAGGACGAGCGAGGGGATCGGACGGGTTGGGGGCAGAAAGATGAGGGGAGGCAAAAGGTGAACTTTGAGATGGGCTGGTATCGGGATAAGCTCTACATTAGCAAATTACCTCGCGCTCTCGCTTTCGCGGGTCCCTCCGGCGGTGAACGATAAATACAGCGGAGCAATCCGAAAATATTGTTCGAAAGGATTCGGGAAAAATTTCTAAAGGAAAACCGATGAACCGCCACCCCGAGGAGAGGATCCAAGAATGCGATTGTAGCCTCTCGACTCGATGCACTCTTGAGAGAATCGGTTTTTGAATTTTTAATTGCGTTCAAGACGGAGTCTCAAAGCAATCTCGCGATTACAATAATCGTTATTTATTTTATTTTTTCTGTACTCTCGGTAAATGAGATTACACGGCATTCGATTATGGATCGAGGGCTTGCGATTGAAATCCACGAATTCGAAATCCATGCGAGTGCATAATCGTGCTTGCAACGCCCTCGTTAGGAACGCTGGCGGAACTAATCCTGATTTATTTGGGGGAAAATCGAACAGTGGCGTCATCTAGCAGCGAAAAAGTATAGTTGTATTATACGTCGCTTCTCGCTAGACTGATAATCCTAACCTGCGACGACTTCTTCCAAGCGGAATTCAGGGAGAATATATTGATCTGGTCAAAGCACAAAAGTGGAAACATATTTCAACGATATGCAGATATATAATGAAGATGGACAAACCATTAAACAAGGTGAAACAAGGCTCATGTAACCTCACGGAAAGATTGAAAGCGTAAATCCACTACCCAGTGGAATATTGTAACAACAAAATCTTTCCTCCTAAGTAAAAAAGTATTCAAGAAATTTTACGTGAGGATACGATGGACAGCGAACACTGCATGCATTTTGTTGAGCGTAAGAAGCGATTTTGCCGCATGACAGTGCGGAAAGGTCATCAGTACTGCGGCGAGCATCAACGGGACATCGCCGGCTCGGACGCCGGGAACGAGAGAGTGCCATGTCCGCTGGATCCAACACAGCAAGTATTCATTAAATTCGGTGTATTCTAAGCGAGATAATCTAGCGCGATATCATGGCATTTGTCCCCTTCTAGTACATGCTACAGATCCAAGTTGACGAAGCACTTGGGCGTATGCAACGTCAAGCGGAGGCTGGACGCGCAACCGGCGTTCCTGGTTGAAGGAACAAACTTGGATGACGAGACTATCGCGGCGCCGCCGCGCGTACCACTGTCACAGCTCGATGAAGCCATCATAAGAATGGTGATAAGGAAGATTCATGCTGCCTATGGTATGATTAAATCGTCTGTATTCAGGCCTCAGGGTTGTGTTTACACGTAAAATGTAACAATCTACATCTACATGTATATACAAAGTAAACTATGTAAACTGTATTATGTGTCATCTATATAAATAATTTATGACTGAGAACAATTTGTTCTTTGTCGTTGCACTGGACTGTACAAAAACTTTCATCTTGTTTATATATTTTCATTTGACAATATTAGAGTCAGATATATTAACAATCGCAAAACTTAAGTCTTTCAATGATAATTTACATAGTTTATATTTCTTATATTATTTATATGAAGAACATTCATGTGAACTTAACGTGAACAATATGTAAATATTTCATTATATGCAAACGTAATCTTAAAATATATGACACAACCCTGTCAAGAATAATTTGATTTGATTAAAAAATGAATTCCTTTTTCATGTCCTTATATATATTGCGTTCCGTTTAGATGAGCTACCAGAATTTTCCCGAACGATTCTAAGACACAACGTGCTTGAAGACAAATTAAATGATGAAACCTGCGGCAGTAAAGTTAGGAAGCACTTGCTCCAAAATGCATCTCTGCTGGGGCATCTGGAGCAAGCTGGTCTTGTGCAAGACGATACTTGTTTCATTGAATTTGGAGCTGGAAAAGGTACATTTCAGTTGTAACAGCATTCATTGATTCTCTTGATTTTTTTATTTTAATGAAGAAATTTCGTTTCTATCTGTCGAATAATTCGTTACTGTTTTAAATGAGTTTTAAATTTACGTTATACAATGTACTAAATAAAGTTGTACTTTAAACAGCTCAGTTAACATATTGGTTGGGGCAGATTATAAAGGACAAGTCAAACTCTTGTATCTTACTAATCGATCGTTCTAGTCATCGGCACAAAAGCGACAATAAACTTAAGAGAGAGGAAAGTCGCCTCACAGTGAAAAGGATACGCGCCGACATTGCTGATCTGCAGTTGAATCAAATCTCGGAGATCCGGTCGATTAAATACAAGGTCGGCATAGCAAAGCATCTCTGCGGAACAGCCACTGGTACATTCATTTTGTCACTGTCGACAATGTTTCATTTTTGTTTTATATTGTAATCGACGACAATGATATTTCAGACTTGGCGATACGTTGTTTAGTAAAGTCGATGAACAGCGAACCCAAGGTTGACGTACGCGGTCTAATCCTCGCGTTTTGTTGCCATCATAAATGCGAGTACTCGTCGTACGTGGGCAGAAAGTACTTGCAACAATGTGGCTTTACCGCGGACGAGTTTCCTGTTCTATGCAGCATAGTCAGTTGGGCGACTTGTGGCTGTCGTTTAAAGAGCAACGTTAACTCGCCAAGTGATGCCACGTCAGAGACTGCTAGCAGATCCTCGAAATCAGACGAACGTGAAGTTATCGGGCGCAAAGCTAAAACACTGCTGAATTGGGGTCGTTTGGTCTTTTTGGAGAACGTTGGATTGAAGGCTGAGCTGCTTTACTACATTTCCACCGATGTCTCGTTAGAAAATATGTGCATTGTGGCTACTCAAGAACGTTCGTCGTGACTGGAACATGTTGAATTTACTGTTAATTTGTACGTTGTCTTGAAAATTATTCTCATTTTTTATAATAAATTACGTATTTACGTAAATATTTATATTTCGATCAATGTGTCAACATAAAGTTGGCCGTCTGTTGATATTTCCGCTTTTTTTTTTATCTTCCGCTTCAGTCGGTATAGTTAGTTTTTAATTTATCGACCTCGAACTTACCGACACGCTTAATTGAATGACGGATTGAAGTAGTACGCAAGTCACAAATAATCTCCCCCACCGAACAAGATGCCCCGCCCAATACGAGTGATCTAACACCGTTCAAACATTCCAGCGTACGTTCGATGCGGAGTGTGGAGTTGGTCCAACCACCTGCTCCTTTTTCTTATCGCCCAACTTCCAGGGTAGCGCTTTACCGTCAAGTGGAATTGGTATCGACGGCACGAAGAGAGGAGAAAAAAAAAGAACCGCCATTGAGGTATGCATAAGCTGTGAATAGGACGCGCGTGACCCGTTGAATTTATACGTAAGCACGTATACACACCTGCTTTTGACCTAAATCAGCATCTATTTTTACACTGCCTGCGCGTACTTGTGCGTGCCGTAGTAAAGATTGCCGATAACGATAGCTACGCGATTCATCAATCGATGTACACGAAGCTGTATGTACACATCCTATGTAGCACGCCGCGTCAAGCCACGCCTGATAGCTTGCGACATTCTTACTGCACTCATAGAACTTCCCTCTTTCCTTTTTTTTTCAGAAAATAAGCGAGTAACGTGGCCGTTAACGTTGTGACATGTCTATTCTAGACGAGCGCGACGAATACTTGAAGAATCCGTATTTTAAGGAGCACTTATACGGCGACTTCACTGCATTCTATGTTACAATCGCTCTCTGCACCGTCCTAGGCGTATTTCTATTTATCTTGAACATCGTGTTCTGTTGGTGCTCGCGACACCGTGAATATTGGCAAGATCGCAACTCCGGTGAGTTAGATATTCCTTCAGTCTGTACCTAAGAGTACACGTCACGTAGTTTCTTTTTACGGGCGCGCGCGACTGATACAGTTTCTCTTATTTTTTAATAGCGTATTATCCTGTTGGGATTTAGGCAATAGGTGGATCCAGCCTCTGTGGACTGTATTGCCGCATAAAACACCACCGCTTGATCTTAGCGAGTTAGAACCTGGTCTCATCAAGTATCCTCAAGTGAGGCACGAGATTGTTCAGTATCACGATCCGGAGTCTCAGGGTACCACGCCGCAGCCGCAGGAGTACATGGAGATGCAAAAACGCGAGAGTGAGATCTAAAGTAGCTAACAGCACCAACTAGCGAGCAGTGGAAAACAGTAGTAGTAACATCTACACTTAGAATACGTTCAAAGTCAAAGAGTTTAATTGAGTCCAATAGAGTCTAATTAGCCCTTTGCACCGAGTTATTGCATTGTAAAGCCTGTGCCTTGGCTACTGTACACTTTCACCACCAACATTGTTTTCATAGATGTATTGACCTGCTTTTACATATATTAAAAGAATAATTTTTATTTTTTTTACGAAATCAATTATATAATTTAAAAATTGAGACACCACAGCGACTTGTTTCGCAAGTTATTTCAGTAATTGCACACGACACTAGTTGCAAATAGACTGTAATCTCAGACAGCATAAAAATATCTTATCATGGGCTTGCACGTTTTCTGGCCTGCCACGGCTTGCCTGACTCTCTTCGTAGTTTGCATTATAATCGTGATGCTGAAGTATGGCGCACGTCTCTGCAAATTACGACACGAGCCATTGCCATCTGATCAAGAATGGGAAGGCAAAGCATATTCCAGGAAACTATCTCTCTCCATGGCGTGAAAACATATCACCGTCTCGAAAATGTACTCGTATCGCATAGCTCTTTCATTTAAAAAATGTATAGATGAAATTGCCGATTAGTACTTTTGCTGTAAACGTAAATTGAACGTAAATAACTTCCAAGCTATATTTATAACTGCTTTTTCTGTGACACACATTTCATATATAGACGCAATATTGCATATACACAATATTGATCATGTAAGTTAAATGATTATATCCGTCCATTTACTATGTATTTGTACTAATATATTTTTTATTAATATAGACTCGTACGTGCCTTTTTCGGAAATTAGTGCAATTCCTAAAGAATTTTTATGGAATTATACATAAATTATAACAAAACGTTATTGAAAGAGAACTTTTTATGTCCGTCCACATATCTCTTTGATATTAATAATAATATACATTGTTCGAATAATTTTTTAAGTATAATGTCGATAATTGAGCACTTTTGTAATTTTTATATTGAATTCATTTTACGAATAAAACACATATCATGAAAATTTCTACCTCGAAGATCCTTTTACGAAATTGTGCAAATCCCGATCGATGCAATTTGAATGGATCACATCACTCTTGTATATATAATATTTTACTTTTATTGACAACATTGGATTTTTGTTACATGTGTAATGGTTACACAATTATTTCAATAAGTAAGTAGATGCATTATACAATTTTTATAGTAGTTCGTAAAGAAAATCACCGATTTCATCGAGCTACAATACATTCAAAATTCAGGAGCTATCCTAAGCTATACGATCCGAATGACGAAACTGTCCATGATGAAGCAACCGCGCGATCAGCGATTTATACAAATAACATTTAACAATTATTTATCTAAATCGTTGCGAAGCAGTTATCGATTTGTATAACAAATTGACATCTTTGGAAAATGTACAATCGAATTTGTTTAATCTTAACGAAATATGTAGAAAATTTTTAACGATCTGTTATACCAATGAAAATGGTCAAAGCAGCCTATTACAATTTCTATAGTTGCACTAACAAGATTAAACCATCAACAAGATCGACGATTATGAAACTCAACGGTCCGTAATTAGAAGAGTGATTTGTATGTCTCTAATTATTTTAATTCTAACGAATAAAGTTTTGAACGATTCTCTTATTATAATATCTAGAATATCTATGATTTATATATATTCCGTAGGGTGCAGTGCACGCAGATAGCAAAAAGCTGTCCTGGAAGAACTATCGAGAGGGATTTTCCAGAGCGGAACTAATTAAAGGTGGAAATTAAAATTGTGCTGTAATCTTTCTTGACAGGGTCGGAGCGCAGGTGCCGATTTGCAGAATTTAATTTACGACTTTTAAAAACTTGGATAGTCAGAGAGAAATCCGCTTCGAAGTTTCTCCAAAGGAGCACGGACATTTGCTATCGACGTACGCATTCTCCTCGGAACATCCTGTAATTTTATCGAAGGATCTGAAAAATTAGTCTCTAGGTTTACTGATGTATCTCTCTATCATGCTATGTTACAATGCGATTAAAACATGGAGAGCTTTCTGCGAGCTTCACACAGAGAAGTCAAGCACGAGACTCGTTACATCTGTTTTACATTACTGAGATAACTGCATGATGCATTCGGATGTTTCAGAAATTCCGCAATCCTGCACGATCGTTGAGAGCGTAAGATTCCTATGAAAACTAGAGACATGCAAACTCGCGCATTTCATAAAAAGTGTAGCGATTGCGCTTTTCTGGAATGGTCTCCGGACATCGGAAGGAGCTTTTGCGAAAGGAATAACGCGAGTGATCTCCGTAGATCGCGCATGCAATTAGTACGCATTGTAAAATAGATGTAACGTTTATGGGAGACACATTGAATGGTTTTGCACATAACGAGTCCACTTCCGTGATGTGTCCCTGGTCTCGGTGCGGAACACAGCTTCGACCTTGGCAATTCGAGGTGGAGGGAACGACGAATGTATCCGGTGAAGTCGAGTTCACCGGTTGGAGGATCAGTGGGGACAGTAATTAGCGAAGAGTCCATAAAACGGAGATAACGCTATCCTAGTTTATCGATAAAATTCGCTTCACGCGTAATGATGATATGCTGTAATATCGGGAGCTAGAACTAGGCGCTTGATGATGACGCGCGCGCGATTCCGCGCGTACGGCGTCCACAGGGTCTTAGATGAACTCCTGGAGGTCCTCGGAATCCGACGCGTGGAAGAATTCGCCGATAATCTCGACGTTCGTTCGACTTTCGGAGCTGAAGGACCGAGCCTCCGTCATATATCGGAGATCTAGATGGAGATGAGGAAGAGATACCTTCAAAATATTATTGTATGTTTGTATGTGAAAAATACTCTTTCCTCGGGTCTCATCTACCCCTATGCATTCTTGCGAGACACATCCGCACGACGCAACTCGCACTCGCGTGTAATACCAAACGCGCAAACAGCTTAACTTCTTGTCATCGACGAGCCCTCCGGTTATACATCTAGACTTAAAAACGAATTACAATCTTGTATGCAGGGAGGAGGGATTTGATTTTTGTAGCGTCGAAAAGATATCCAGTGATTTATCTCTCTTTTTCTCTTTCTCTCTCTTTCCTGCACGCGCGAGCGTGCATGTTTGACGAGACGACGAGTTATTTCAGTTTGATTTTCATGCTCATTGGCGAGTTTCCATAATTGCCAGTTATCACTTGATACAATATTATTATAACGTTAATTGCGAATATTAACATCGGAAGTGACGACGTCCTGCCGAGAGGAGCGCGGAAGATTCCGGATAAATTCATTAGGCTCGCGCGAACATTCTGTGCTAAATAATATATAGTATATTTTTTTCGCATTTTATTTTAATTCTCTCGATAAATGTTATTTTGATGTGTTTCGTTTGATCGTTCGTTTTTTGATTTCATCATTTTTGATTCATCATGACCGTTTTGAAGATACCACACAGGACGAATGCTTCTTATTCGAGCATCCTTGTTTAAACTGATGAACCTTCGCGACGGCGTAATAATTGTCGGAATATCTCGCGCATGTTATATGATACAGGACACAGTTACTTTGAACACCGAACATTGTATATTTATGTGACAATCGAATGAAAGCTGTTTAGTATGACAAATATTGTACATGATTTTAAGTGGATCAGCAGCTAAGTCAAATGGGGGTCGCTGCTGCTTCTTGTGTGATAAACAATAATATTAATAATATTAATAATATAATATCGCTGCGGGAAGACGAGAGAACAACTTTGGCGGATGATCTTATCCTCTGCGAACCTCCGAAATGGCGGCTGCTGCTAGTCAGGGAGCTCTATGATGTGTGCTACGCTCATTAATCAAACAACCAGTGGTGCAGATTTTGCAAGAACACGCTAAGAAAACTAACTCCTGAATCCTTACAGATCTTTAAATATCCGAATTCACAAGTCATGAAAAAATTTCGCATCGAGGGATACGAGTGTCAAATTCGCGAAAATTCAATGCACAAACTGCATCACTATGTGTCTAGACTCTAGACGATCGGCCCTGTTCAGCTTTCGTCATCTCGAACATGTTACGTATCGGTTCCCAATCAATTCTTCGGTTGATCGCGCGGCTTAACCCTCCAAGATCTCGCCATCGTCCATTTTTAGAATACCTTTATACGATCAATAACTCCTCTACAGGGGAACTCGTTGCAAATTATGTCAATGGGTTAGATAGAAGAGTCTCTTCGACAGGCATACGCTTACGAACATGATATTTTCCATACAAACTCGGACCTGCTTTAGATGTAACCAATCTAATATGTTTACTCGGAAGTTGAAATTGTCAAAACATTTAAGTTTTTGTCAAAATTTACGCCTAACATACACCTGATATAAATTATTATTAATTAATAGTAATACAATAGCATAAGGAAACCCTGGAAGGATTAATAACCGAGTTACTGCCGAGAACAGATGTGATCACCGAAACGTATGCCCTATTTCGTAATTATTAACAATAATTAATCGACGGCAGCGCACTTTGAAAACGGTTTACAGTTACGCGGTACGCGTCTGCATCCAAAATGCAAATGATTCCTAGGCAGTATATATGATAAACGTATCGATCGACGATCGATCCAAATTTGTGCTCTGCCTCGCAATTAATTAGCGAAAAGGGATCGAAAGAAGGTGGGGGATCGTAGAGATGAAAGTGCGCTTTCGTTGCCCGATTAGAAGAAATGATTGGAGATTGTGTGGCGGATAATTACTGCTTGCCCGATTTCTTGTTCGATCGATCACCTGGAAACAGAAAAACAAACAAGGGCTCGCGCTTGCTGCTTAAATTTTCTTCACCTAACGGGCTGCCACGACAAATCAATCGATCGAACGAGAGGTATTACCTTTGGCAGATTTCTTGGTGTTGGTCTCTGGTTTACACCTCTTGGTGAGCCGTCGCGTCTTCTCGCAGGATGTATCGCTGTTCGCTTTCAAATTATCGATTCTCGTCATCATCTGATTCGCGCATCCGCTCCACGTGCCTTTCTCGTATCGACATGCTGCGATCAACGATCGAATTAAAATGCATTCCCGAACTCGCTTCTTGTGACGATGCATTAATCGCGGACTCACCTTTCTTACACTTCTTCTGTATAGTCTTGGTCTGCTCGCAGGACTTGTCGCCCTTCTTGAGACTCAGAGTGCGCGACCGCGTGTTGGTATTTGAGTCGCATTCCGACCATTGACCCTTTACGTATCTGCACGACGAGGAGCTGCCGGATGCTGCGTCAGCAAATGCGAAACGTCAATAGAAACAATTGGACGTAACGTCGATCAAGCGAATAGAGAAAGAAAGAGAGAGAGAGAGAGAGGGGGGGGGAGGAAAGGAGGGATACCGAGGGACTCTTAAGATCGACAGGGAACGACTTCTAATTACGCCATTTATATACGTATGTTACATATATAGACGGTCTATATTCGCGACCGCTCGATAAAACAACGTCACGATGGAAAAGGGGTAATGGATTAATTACAGAAAGAAGCACTCACTTCGTTCCTTAGTACCACGTACTGTCCGCACAAGCACCTCCTTGTCATCCTCCTCCCACAGATCAGCTTCCGCTCGTGCATTCGTAAGAATCATCAACAAGGCGACGGCCACGAGAGCCAAACTCCAGCATAGCTTCATTCTGTTGAAAAAAAAGGAAAGAGAACGTTTCATCAAGCACTCTTAATTACAGCTTTAATAGTTAATTATTATACAAAGTAGATTCGCAGCACTAGAAGCGGATTGTTTCGACATCGATAAATATTTCTTTACAAATACGGTCCAGATTGTGGATCTGATAATTTCGCAAAATCAACGACCTTTCAAGTTGAATCAATAGATTAATTATTGTGATGAATCAACAACGGTAAATTACCGAATCGAGAAACGTATAAGCTTCTTACAATGACGCGCTTTGATTTTTTTTATGTGCATTCGGGCTTCATTCTCGCGAGGCGGTCGGCGAAGCGAAGACTTCTTTATGCTGGATTTCACGCTGACGTTAATTAAAGCCAGTCCAGCGTCAATCTCTATTAAAGCGGCCCGTCATTGCCGATAACTCGCGATCCACGTCACGAGGCACCGACAGGCCGGCACAAAGGAAGAAGCGCCGCGACGTCGACGTCGAATTCGCGGAATCCCAGTTGATGCGGTTATTAAACTTTTCGGAGCGATGCGCTCCGTTCTCGTTACAATTCGTTGCGATCTCTCGCGATAGTGGCAAGTGGTCCTTAACGAGAGAACTGCAAAAGATAATTAACCCCGGTCGTAGCATCGCTCTGCAAATGGGATCGCTAAAAATAAAATCTTACGTCATCGCGACTCATTCGCATTTTAATTCTTAGCACTGAATAGCTTGTATGCGATCGTGGTGGTTAAGCGCCGTTCTCGTTTCGACAATCTCGTCTACGCTTCCGCGATAGCCGCGGAAACTCCTCGTCGATTTTGATAATTCTTAAACGTTTCAGCGTACTAAAATCTATGCATTAAAACAGTTAGATATCTCCTTGTTGCAGCTTTCAACCTAATTATAAAATAACTATCACTGGAAAAAAATTAATTAGAATTCTGGTAGATTCAATCAGAAAAGTACAAATTAGACTTATAAAGCTATAAAACAATTTAATCGAGATAACCAAACTTTCAATTACAACAATCAGAATTCTGATTGGTATGATCAAAATTCGTTTTGTTTGTGCTTCTCGTTGGTACAACCAGAACATTTTTTGCTGTAACGTTAACAATAGCGTTAAAATCCATTTTAATATCCCTGCAAATCCAGCGAAAAGAGATTGGTCTGCACATCAGTCCTGTCCAGCGTGCGGAAGCCGAAGATTGATTTATTGGAGGGTGCGCGGCGATACGAACCCATAAACGATTGGCTCAAGGTCTCTCCTTAGATCGATGCCATCGTTTCGCACACGATTGGAGGTGATGCGCCTCCGACGATGATGAACCAGGCGACCATCAAGGCCGCGGGACTAATTAATCATCAACGATAGTAGGACGAGTGTCGCGCGTTTCTACATCGGCAGATGATGATGGATTATTCTCTATGTAATATCGGGATTCATAATAAGCAGCGGCATAATCTCAGCTGCTCCGCTCTAAATCTGAGAAGCGTATTCAAAATTCAAAGACGGGTCTCTCACGAGTTGCGGAGAGACCACAGACTTCAAAAGCTTCCAAGATCCCGAAGCTCCAACTCGATTCTAAGATCAGGAAGAGAGAGAGAGAGAGAGGGAGAGAGAGAGAGAGAGAGAGAGAGAGAGAATTGAAATGGCGGTGCTGTGACGTATGTCAAATATGGTTCAAAGACCCTGAGATATACAGATAGAGTAAAATGCAAGTCCCAGAATAGAACATAGGAGGTGGATCTAGGAAAAATTAAAGAATATATAATCTATTAAAAGATGTGCGAGAGTCCAGAGAACTTGGAGACGACGCCTTTCGCTCGTACCGTGCGTTTTGCTGCACGCATCTTTCCAGTCATTCTGGCTATTAGCCGACATTGAGACAATCAGCACTCGTCAGCAATCTTGTTGGACCACCACCGGTCGGTCGGCCGGCTGGCTCTCCTCCCCACGCGAATCTCCGCTTATATTCGAACAATCCGTAGGGAAAATCGTCCGCGCTCGGATTGACGGAATTGACAAAATTATCGTCGCATCAGAAACGGCCGGACGCGAATGAGACGGCGAGCGGAAGTTGCCTTGTTCAAGTTCGTCGTCGGACCTATTGTCGGTCCAGCAACGTCGTGATACAAATGGGCAAGAGAAAGGGGGGGAGGGGGGTAGAGAGAAAACGAAATATGAAAAAAAAAGATGCGGAACGAGAGAGAAAAAGAAAAAGAGAGATATCGAGTAGATAATATGCCGTCGAATATAGACCGGGGACACGCGGTCAACATGTCCGAGAGCAAGGGGACGTTGGCTGATGTCCAGATATACTCTCTTCGTGTGTCCAACTCGCGAGTACACCAACTCTTGTTTTTCCTTTTTCGCGCGCGTAGGTTTTCAGCCCTACAAAAAAATAGATCTTTATTTTCGACGGATCAAACGGAGAGAGAACAAACACGCGCAGATGCTTGATAAAAATTAAAAAGTGAACGTAAAGCGTCTATTTTTTCACTTGATCATATATAAGTATGTGGACACAAATGTCCTAATACGTCAGAGAAGGCATGAAAAGGCATGTTAAGGTATTTGTGTACCTGATAAACAGGTGTCTGGCTGACTGTACACTCGCGCAGAGACTGAGAAAAAAAACCATCACGTCAAAGTGTCATGTAGCTGATAGTGTATCGCGCGTTGTATGAAAAATATGATATCGTTCGGAATGAGTGTTCGAGGAATGTAAGAACGAGCGTTCAATTTATCAACAAAAATTTATCAATAAAAAAAGAATAATAATATGTCTTGCAGATAAAGCACGACGTTGTTGTGCACACGATATAAAAGATAAGAGAATTGACGACATGAATTATAAACGAAACAGACGCGCGAAAAGCGGGTGATTCATGTCACTGTCATTTAAGACGTGTTATATCAAAGTGCAAGCAAGGCTTTTACTCGCATGAATCGAGTCAATTTCAACAATCGAATTTTCGAACCGCAAACAAATTCCTTGTCTAAAATACGAAATTCTGTTGGCGCGAGAACTTTTATTTCTAGGGATGTGTGTGTACATTTTTCGGAATTTCGGAAAACTTTGCTGTGACTACCGTTCTTCAGAATCCTCATCTTTTTAGAAAGTTTAGGAACTTTTAGTACCTTAGAACTTAGATTGTTTTCAAACTCGTACAAGAGCAGGAGAATAGAAGATATTAGAAGAGAAGTTTTCAACTCCGATTTCACGGGCTTTTATGCACATCCCGCTATACAAATTTATCGTCCTGAAAAGCGTTGATTGTTGATTCGTCAATCAGCATCAGGGCACAACAGAATGAAAATGATTTATGTGAGTTGTACACAAATAGTCCGCCCTTCGACCTTTCTTTTATCCTCTTCTCCTCTACCGGCGACTACAGGCCGATCAAAAAGCAATATAGAGACAATTCACCGTGTATTTTACCAGGGTCGTTAGCATTACTTCTTCATCCGTCTGTTGCACAACTTGATCTGGACCTTTTTATTTACCTTCAGTATATATATGGTAAGTAGGACGATGGAGTCGACTTGATCTGGTGTGCGAGAGGTGCGCGGAGAGCGGCTGCAAAATCCTAGAAAGCAAGAAACTAGACGTCGCGTCGCCTAGAAACAAGCTCTACCTCTCGGCCTCCGTACTCGCTACCATTGCGCCCGCGCGACACAACTTATAAATAGCTTGAAAATGAAGGGTTAAAAGGTTACGGCTTGTCTGCTACAGCCCTAAAAAATCTTGCACCGTTTTATAGACCCACGCGTCGGTCACGCGGCTGTAGGAGTAACGAGAACGAATTGGCCGTCATTTCGTGTCTCGGCCCGCGCTGCTCGAGATTGCTGCTCGCTGCAATTTTGCCATTTATTCCGAAACGCGAAGGTGGTCCCCGACGAATGCGCAATTTCTCCTATCTACGCTGAAAAAAAAACAGTAAGCGGAAACGCAAAATTCTCGGGTTTCTGAGCGAGGAGTAAGATTTCGTCGACCGTATCATCGGAACTCGCAATCAGCACGGTCCTCGTTATCAATCGCTCTTCGGATTTATCGAAGTGTCGACACAGACTCGAAATCTTATCAATTTTAAAAATCCGGCTTCTTATCATTCGGCTTCCGAAATCTATCTTGTATTTATAAAAGACTTTTGACTATTTCAGATATTTTTGCAATACTCTAAAATACTTTTATGGTCATTCAATGACCATATAAACTTCAAAGATCATGTCCATAAAAAATCACGGGAAGTCAGATAAGATTTCCGACCGTAAATTGGGCCCTAAAAATTGGGTCATGAAAAATCAGACAGAGGAAGATAAAGAAGCTCGACTCAAGATACGGAGCAAAAGAGCGATAGTGTATGAGGGGCGCGAGCGGATACTGAAAGCATCGATCGTCGTTGTGTGACAGACACGCGCGTACAATATAGTAAAAGCCGCTTTTAATTTCTGGTTCCTTGGTCCTTCTCAACCCGTATCAGCCGCGCGCGCTGCGGGAGCTGGACCAGCGACAGAGTGCAAAAAATTCTCGGATCTCCGCCGTTCCGTCGGAGGAGAGCGACGAGAATCAGGGGCGGGTCTCCGCTCCGCTCCACTCGTTCGCGGAAAATCGATCAGCAACGCCGGGCGGCGGCGGCAGCGGCGGTGGCAGCAGCGTTTCGTTCTCTCTCATTCTCTCTTTCTCTTTCTCTCTCTCTCTCTCTCTCTCTCTCCCTTTCTCTCCCTCCTCTCCTTTCTCATTCTTTCTCTCTTGCTCTCTTTTTTCCTTCTCTTCCTCTCGCGCAAAAGACTCACCTGCTACAAGGATGCCAAGCAGAAGATCAAGCTTGATTGACTTCCTAACGTATTTTCGGTTGGTAATTATCCGCTTACGTAGCCGCGGCGACGCTCAACGAGGAGGATGCTGCGGATAGGAGATCCGCTCCGTAACGCGGCTGCGTGATGCACCGTAATCAGCGCGTCGGATGAAGAACGGATCTCGGTGTTCTGTATGCCTTCTAAGCGTTGCGATGCCTGGACACCGTTGACTGCTACTACTACGTGTTGCTGCCGTCACTGGTACTGCCGCTATCGCCGCCGACCGGAGTCATCCCCCTCCCCGAGTCAGTCCGGAGTCCGGCATCCCTCAGGCGCCATGCATATCCTCCCCGCTCCAGCCGCCAATCTTTCCCCTTCTTCATCGCCGTCACCATGGTGATCATCCCTCCTAGAAAAGAGAAAGGCGACTGGATAAATAGAAATAGAACTATGTAGAGAGAATCGTACAGGACGTTTCAAAATGAAATTAGAACTTAATTACTGAGCCTTCGTCGTTGAAAATTAAAACTTCAACACACTCTGATATTGAGGAACATAAATGGGCACCAAGCCTACTTTCTCCGCGTGTAATCTCTAATCTAACTGAAATAAAAAACCTAAAATTATAAGAAAAACATTGCGATTAAAAAGGAATGACGGGATTCTAGAATTATTTTGGTGATAAGGAAGAAATAATGACAACGTTAATTAGGATTGCTTTCAAAAATAAACATTTATTTCAAAATTAATGCTTACCATTAATGCTGTATCCTAAAAACTAAGATCTCTATCCTAGACACCGAGCGTGTTTAGGTGTTGTCTTAAGATTTCTTATCAGTTTACTGCATTGTTAAGTTGTGTACAATTTTGTATAGTACCGTAATGGGCTTTATAGCGAATCCAAATCCTCGCTGATTCGCGAAATCACATGATACCCTTCAAGACTCACGCTTCGCACTTCCAAGAGATCAAAACTCCAAAGATCCAAGGATCGTTTGACATAAGAATTTAAAGGTTTAGCTGAATTCAAAGATTTACAAAAAAACGGATTTAACACTTTGAAATCCGAGATTAAATCAAAAATATCATTATAAATAAAAATTCCTATGTCTAAAGATCCTAAGATCCAAACTGGAAAATCCAAAAACCCAAAAAGATTTAAGGACCCTATAAATCCTTAAGATTTAAAGACCCGAAAATTTAACATCTTACATCCTAAATGCAACGCATTTGTAATGCGTTCGTACCTAATTAATTCGACGATCAAAATTATGTATACAAAACTGAGTTATTTCTTATATCACCAAACACAATTCGACAGTTCTCACTCTCCAGCATTGCGATAAAGAGTAAAATGATAGTACCGCTAAGTGATGATATCACATTTATGGTTCGGAGTATGCGCTATCGAGGACACATCCTTAAACAGCATCTTTTGTAGATTGTACCAATTCACCAAATGACGTTTCCAAACATTGCCGTAGTTCTGCGTAACTTACTACTAGAACACTCTGCTCATCTCGAGACATGAGACATATCTGTAATGGTACATTTTAAGATTACTTTATGTACACACATTCCAAAAGTGTTAAGAATCATTACCTTGTCCTGCGAACCAGAATCGAGTTTATTCAAGCAGGATACAACATGCGCAAGATCCAACCAGGGTCTTCCATCAGCTGTGACTTGATGAAATACATAGTCCCTAAACAATTTGAGCATATAACGATCGCCCGTCTCTGCCCACGTAGGTTCCATATTAAGTTCCGGCCTTTCGTTGATGGTTGCTAACTTGACCAACAATTTAAATAATCGTCCGTTTTCTAGTTCCTTGGCAAGTTCGTTCTCCAAAACATCCAATCGTAACTGGGCGGCATCCAACTGTGTATAAAATCTTGCACCAATCATTGGCATGAGATCCGTGACACTCTTACGGGGTTGATTTGACAGCAAGTACCTAAAAGTTTGTCATACTATATTAAAAATATTTTTAATTTGTCACTATAGATTGGATTACAATAAAATTAGAAATTATAATTTTCTTCTGCTCTGTCCATCAGCATTTTTGCATAAACAAAGCTCATACTAACTATAATAAATTTGAGATATATTGAAGATTCTTTTTGTGGATTGATAAAGCTTTACATTTAATAATCTTTAAATCAAGTGATCAATTGTCAGAGTTACTGACTTACAGAATAAGATTTCGAAGGTCGGTGGAATAGGAACGTGTAATCAGCTCGATGGAGGCTGACATATTGTCGCGATGGACGGCGATAAGACTTCGACATGCTAGTGCTAAGACCAGCTTGCCAAGTGCTACTAAATCTTCTTGCTGATAATGTGGGACGAGGGTAAGTGGATTTGCAGTGTTCCCATCTAGAGTGACCACGTCTGGAATGGCGACACAACTCAAACGAAGTCGTGTCCGTGATGTAAGTAATACCTTGGTGGGATCTAAGCATCTGTATGCCAAACCTATAAAACGTAGGACAAATTAATGCAGAATTAAATTAACAAGAGAAACTAAACGAAACGAAAATTTAAAGATTTATGGATACGGAGTTAATCATAAAATATTTATGATTCTTTAAGAAAGGCAGAAAACAAAATGAGGACAACGAAATAATATATACTAACCAGCGGCATGAATAACACGAAATGCGGCAGTGAGTTGAATAATGTAGCTCCAAATAACACTTTCCGGTAGCATGCTACTATGTTGCTGTCTTAGAATAGTATTCTTGGTATGACTATAAGGCCGTGGTGCATTGGGATCCGACGAGAACGGATCGGTGTAACCGTTAAGCTCAGTTGAGGCGAAATGTTTATTCAGTAATGTCTCCGAGGCAGGGTGATAATCGTATACAAAAACCATGGCTGGAAAAAAAATTAATTCGGCAAGAGTGCGGTATGCATAGGTGATGTACAAAATAAATGAAAGTGCATCTGAAATACGGACAATGATCACCGAATGCCTTGGTGGTAAAAACTTCTCTCAGCTGAACTAGATTTGTATGTGACAATCGCTTCCACATGTCAACCAGTACCATACACTTGGTGTTGGCGAGTCGGAAATCTACAAGCACCAAGTACGAGCAAAATATGAAGTGCCAAGCTGATAATATTCTGTGATATTCATTAGTAGGATCCTCGAGTCGAAGCTTAAACTCACCATGAATACGACGTAAACAGTATCGCGTACCAGTCTTGATACTGGTGGCCTTGTATGTGGAAGTTTGATATCCAAGAACCGTCGAAGCGGGTTTATGAACTGGCTCCAAAGGACATAGTTCGTGATAATTATCAACCTCATTAGGTAAGTCAGGAAATCGTACTATATCGGGCTGTGCCAATGTCAATGCGTTCTTTTGCAGGATGTCCATTCGCAAGCTTTCACTGACAAAGAAGCTGGGAGCAACCTGAGGGGGAGGTGTGGAGGGAGCGGAGGAATTATTAGAGGAGGGTGGTTTTGCCGTTTTCACCGGTTGTAGATGTGAAGGTGTGCCTGGATAGACGTAACCAATCTGTCCCGTTGCCACGGGTCCAATCTAATATTAAAGATAAAAAGAAACAGTCCAGAATCTTCTCGTTATATCTTATCAGTTAAGCAGATAATACAGGTAAATAAAGCAAGTCAAGACTTGGACTTACGGCCTCAGTGCCATCCTCAGATCCGACAACGTCGCTGCCAGTATTCCCAAAATAGAAGTATGTTGTGCCACCTACATTTTCTTGTGAATGGGTGTAGGAGTTGTTAAAGAGATTCGGCGAACTACTATTGCTGCCCGTAAGGCCTCTTCCTGGCACAAATTCGGGACTGGCAGTTACCTTCTTTTGTGAGTCCAGAGAAAGGTTAGACAAATGCTTGGTCATTGAGTTTGTGCTCAAGCCTATGCCAGGACTTTGATGATTCTGTATAAAACAATTTATACAGAATAATTATTCGATACCGAGATAATCTTATTCCCATTAATGCAAAAAAATAATGAATTACCATGTAGGTAGCAAGCTTGGACTCCGATGGAACTCCGTTTGTTTGAGGATTGTATGTGACAAACAACGATGGGTCCATCGCTTCTTCAGCCACTGCATTTACCACTTTCGTACTTATCTTTCACCCTTACTCTCTATATTGTTCTTAACAAATTCACCACTCACTTACTTCTCACACTAACTTTTATAAGTATTCTAGCTTGACGTTTTCTTTTCTTTGCTCTGCTGATATAAATCGAGGTTCCAGTCTTCCGAGCCTGCAACATATTCTCAAACATTATAAATAAAGACACTGAGTGAACTATATGAATATAAATAAATGCTTCTAAACATATATTAATATTCATTCAATAAATTCTTTGTCAGTCTAGATTCTCTTTGTCAAGTTTTATGTATACAATACATCACGTTCTCGCGTTTATCTCACGAAACTGAATTCTCTCAAAAGATAAAAAATTCAACGTCTGCAAATCTAAGCAAAACAATATACCTTAACAATAGATCGATCGTACATAAAGAAAATTTCCGCGATGCTTTATTGGCATTTTTTTCCCGAGGTCACGATAACGAAAAGACGAAACGGAGAAGAATGAATCGCAAAAGAGGAGCGTTCAGGGGAATCAGGAGAGTACGCGACGACACAACGAGATCGCCGACGCGACGACTTTCATGGCGAATGAAAATAGAGAAAAGAGAAGGAGCACCGAAGAGTCAGCAATGGCAGCTGATTTTGACAACAGGCCGACGAGAAGGCGCGCG